TGCAGATCTGCTTGACTTTGCCACTACGCAGATCACGCAAGAATCTTTTATGTTCGAGCGTTGGCAACTGAGTGATCTCCGAAGTTAACTTCGGAGGCGCAATCAGATCAAGTGTATAAGCGCCTACACATGATCCGTTATTGACTATGACATTCAATGTCTCTGTCATTTCCTGGGGACTTATTCCCTCAGGCTTCGAAGGACTTATTCCTTCGTCTTCCCGGGAACTTATTCCCGCGGGTTTCGGGGAACTTATTTCCGCCGTATTTGTAATCTTGGGACTTATTCCCTTTACTTCCTCTAGCTGGGGTTGCGCAACCACAGCGAGATCCTCTACGAAAGACTCTCCAGTCGATCTAGGATTATCGTTTCGCTTAACCTGAGCGATCGATTGTTTCTCTTCTAGATGTTCCCCTCTAGGGATACATCTTTGTCCCAGTCCACCCGACTTATTCGAGTGGTGGACCTTCGGCGCAGCCTGTGTTTCCTCACAGCCGCCGGAACTTTGCTCCGAAGTGTAACCGTTTGGTACACTAAGGTTTTGTGCAGTCGTACTAACGACCGTACCACAAGTGAGGCCATCGCACTCACTCGTAGTACATCCACACGCTTGTGGACTCTCCAAAACGTTCATCAGATGGCCATCTGATGAACAAGCGGCAGGCATCGTTACTGTCCGATGTTGCCAGTTTACCCGTGGTTCGTACCTTCTGAGCCACGGTATTCCAAGGATGACATCAAATTTGTCATCCAAATCCAATACGATAAAGTCATCGTCGTATTGGGTATCTTCTAGCGTATAGTGAATCTTCACTATACGCTTCATGACGGTTACGGATGCGCCTGTCGCAAGACGTACCGTCATCCTCGTAGGAGGTGTGTCACATTCACTGAATTTAAAGTGACCATCTTCTAGCGATTGGCGTCGCACAAAATTGTTGGACGCCCCACAATCGACTAGAGCTCGAAGGGACAACTTATTCGTCACTTCGAGTTTCAAGGTAATGAGTGAGATCTCATTACCTAGAGCAGCAACGCACAATGTCTGTGTGTTGGGAGCAACCTTCATCAAGAGGCCTACAAATTCTCTTGACGTTGCTGGATCAGTAGGGTGCTCCGCACCTACTGATCCTGTCCGTTTTTTGACGGTCCATCCCGTTGTTGCGTCTTTGCACCAACTGCGGACCCTCGTCCCTGCCCCTTTCTCATGGGTGGACGGTCACTACGCCCAGTGTCGCGAGACACTGGACGAGGGGCACTACACTCGTAAGCATAGTGTCCTGTCTTTTGACATCTGTTGCATCTCTGCAACTTCTTGTAGCCTGTAGAGCGAGCCTTCTCGCTCTCTACATAACAGAGTTCCATCGGCTCTGGACCTCCGTTGTCATATCGTCTCGGTTGACGATATGATGTCGAGCTGGCGCGAGCCTGTCTCAGACTGAAGTCTTCCTGCTCCGCAATTGAAATGGCTTGTTCTAGTGAATCTAGTTCAAGCCGGAACAGGTGAGTCTTGACGGGACCATCCGCAAGACCCTGCATGAACACCGAAACCAACGTGTGTTCATCCACCGGATTGGAACTTATACAACTCGTGAGATGTCGTATATGTTGAGCGTAAGCGTGCACATCACGCTTACCCTGCTTGAGCTTCAAGAGTTCGGTTCGAGCTCTGAACTCAGCTCTAGGCGGTTCAAACGTTTGTCTGAGCCGCGACTTGAAGACTTCCAACGACCCAAACGCGTATGGGTCGTGCAGCTTGAGCCCCAGTGCCCAAGTCTTGGCACGTCCTGCCAGATTTGACTGGGCAAATGCAACTTGCATATCCCCGTCGTCGATGCGACGCGCCCTTATGGCGTCATCCAATTCGACGAACCATCTCAAGAGGGAGTCTTCTTCGACCCCCTATACTTTGAGATGTCAATCTTCAAAGTCTCGGGCCGACGCGAGTGCATCGACCCGCCAGCAGCAGCCTGCTGCTGTCTCAACAGTTCAAACTGTTGAGCACCTTGTTCTCTCAACAACTCTGCTTGTTGAGAACCTTGTTGGTGAAGCAAGGCTACTTTCTCGCGTTCTGCGTCAAGTTCATTTTGAATGAACTTGGCGATAGTAGCATGTTGGGCATCTCTATTGAGAGCCTCTAGCATGACGCTAACAGCATGGATGCCCATGGTCGAACCCATTCGTTCAACCGCATCCCATTCGACATCGCTCAAATGGGAGTAGCCGTCACGCGTAGCGTGAAAGCTTTGGTCATCTTCATCATCCAACATATTCATGTTGGATGTGAACGCGGTCCTTGGACGGACTACAAAGTGCTACCAGGTGTAACGGGGCACCCTGAAGCTTGTACTGGTGACAGTACAAGCTACTTATTCTGATAACAGAATAAGGCGGTGCCTCGTAACTTCACGTACACTCGTACGTGCAGAGGAAGACGGTAAGAAGAAGCGAGTACTTGGTTAGAGTAAAAAGTAGAACTGTATTTATAATAGTTAATGTCTGCAATAAATCACTATTTATCTTCATCTAACTATGTCTAAATACAAATGTGTAAATCAGTTATCTGCTCACCACTCATTGCGTGCGTCTGTCGTGGCGCGTCTTCGTTGGTTGATATAATGGCCTATATCAACCAATTAGGAACTACTTGGAAGTGCTACAGAATATTGTCCTTATGACAATATTCTGAGAATATAACTCTTATAGTTATATTCTATTAACAATTTCTTATAAATTGTTATGTAACGATTCACCCCGTTACAGGAACGGCCATGGCAAAGCATTTGGACGCTTTCGACGAGCTCGTTGTCGGTCTTCAGACGCTTGGAGAGCCCGTCGACGAGGCACGGCAGCTAGTAGTGCTGCTGAGCAGCCTTCCAGCCGAATACGAGCTGATATCGTCGATCATCGAGAACGTCAAGGACATCACGCTCATCGAGGTGAAAGAGAAGCTGTTGAAGGAGTGTGAACGGTTGGAGAAGAAAGACACGACTTCGGAACGAGCATTTAAGGTCAACGCTGGACGTTTCAAGGGCAACAAGAGGAGTGGTCGCAAGTGGAGCGATCAGAAGAAGAACTCTAGTGGTTTCCAAGGCAAGTGTTTCAAGTGCAACAAAGTTGGGCACATGAAGCGGGACTGTCAGGAGGGAACAACAGACGGCGATGCGGTATTTGTTGTGAGCACAGAACGTGTAAACGGATGGTTGATCGACAGCGGCGCGACCGCCCACATGACCCCGCACCGTTCCGATCTGTTCGAGTATGAGAACGTGAATGGTGGCATCGAAGTAACAATCGCTGACGGAAAGAAGCTGCAGGTCACTGGACGTGGTACGGTACGCTTGCTTGGACTGAACGGTAAACGGATTAAGATGGTTGAAGTTCTTCACATACCGGGCCTCGATCGGCGTCTGTTGTCAGTGGGGAAGCTCGCGGATCGTGGACTGAACGTGGAGTTTCAGCGTTCCTCATGTGTTATATGGGGAGCGGCTAGCGCAATTGCGAAGGGTAAGAAGGTCGGCAAGGCTTACATGTTAGACTGTGAACAAGAAGAAGCTCGGTTCGTCCAGTACGCCGGGGCTGACAGCAAGTGGGAGCTTTGGCACGCTCGCATGGGGCATCCCAACCAGGATGCTCTGGATAAGACAAGGCATGCCACGAACGGTATTCCGGCTGTTGGTCAACCGCCCCATTCTTTGTGCGGCGGATGCATGAAGGGGAAGCAAACGGTGGCTAAATTTCCGCATTGTTCCAGCTCGAAGACGTCGCGCGTTCTTGAGCTCGTCCACACGGATATGATGGGACCCATGAATAATCCTTCGAAAGGTGGTGCCAAGTATGTCCTGACGTTCGTGGACGACTACTCGCGCTACGTTGTGGCCTATTTCTTGAAAAAGAAGAGCGAGGTGGCCATTAAGCTTAGAGAGTTCATGACTTTCTATGAGAATCAATGGGGAGAGCGCATGAAGTGTTTACGATCGGATAACGGAACGGAGTTTGTCAACCAAGAGATGACGAAGATATGTATGCTGAACGGTATCGTGCACCAACGGACTGTCCCGTATAGCCCTCAGCAGAATGGAGTGGCAGAACGGATGAACCGAACTATCATGGAGAGATCTCGAAGTATGCTATACTACAAGGGCGTTCCAATGGAGTGGTGGGCTGAAGCAGTTAGTACTGCGGTATATCTAATCAACCGTTCCACGAACACGCACAACGCAACCGTAACACCGTTTGAGCTAGGTTTCAAAGTGAAACCTACGCTAGATCACCTACGCGTATTTGGTTCTCGCGGGTACGCTCACATTGACGAAGCGAAGAGGACGAAGCTTGAACCTAAGAGCTTTAGATGTCTGCTGCTCGGATACCCAGAAAACGTCAAGGGTTACCGTGTCTATGACTTGGACGCTTCCAAGGTCAAAGTTTCTCGCTCGGTGAAATTGGACGAGCGTGAGGTAGATGGTATTTACGATACACTACCTGCTCAGATCGAAACAGTTATTCATGTTAGCACAGACGCCGATAATGAAGTCACGCTCGCACCAGTGGAACTTCAACCCGTCGAAGCGGAACCCATGGAAGGCGTTGAGAACGACGCACCGGATGTAGAGATGGAGAGCATGCAACCGATACAGGACGCTATACCGCCGCTGCTGATGCCATAAGAACGGTCAGCTCCCACTGGATTTGAGTTGGAACCGTACCGTGGACCACCGACTATCTTCGAGGACGATCAAGTGGTGTTCCATACCCCTAGAGACCGTTTTAGAAGTTCCCGGGAACCAGTCTTCCTTCTTGAAGAGGGAACGGACGCAGAGGAAGAACGGAAGTCGGAAGGAAGAGATGGACCGTCCTATCCGAAGCGTGCCAGGATCGATGAAGACGGCCTTATTGCTGAAGCCGTCCTCGCGTACGCAGCAAGCATTGACACAGTGGATCTTCCTACAACATACGCTCAGGCAATTGCCAGTCAAGATTCAACACAGTGGCGTGAAGCCATGGATGCTGAACTGCTCTCTCATAAACGGAACAATACCTGGACATTAGTTCCACGAGGAACGGCCATCCGTACCATTGGGTGCAGATGGGTGTTCGCCAAGAAGCGTGACCAGAACGGTCGCGTGGTGCGCTTCAAATCGCGGTTGGTGGCGAAGGGTTTCAAGCAGAAGTACGGAGTGGATTTTTTTGAAACGTACTCTCCTGTGGCGAACATGAACTCGATTCGAGTTGTGCTCTCCGTCTGCGCTGCTTTCGCGTACCAGATGGAACAGTTGGACGCTGACACAGCGTTCCTCAACAGTGAGTTGGAGGACCGTGTCTACATGGAGGTACCAATTGGCGTTGAGAACGCTCATAACTATGTGTGCCAGCTGAACAAGGCCATCTATGGACTGAAGCAAGCTGCAAGTGCCTGGAACAAGACCATTCATCGGGTATTTCTTGGGTACAGATTCAAGAGCTGTGGTGCGGACCAGTGCGTCTATGTCAAGCGTTCCAAGAGCAATTTCATTTACGTCTGTCTTTACGTAGATGATATGATCATTGCGGCGAAGACTAGTGATGAAATTGATGACGTGAAAAACGCACTCAAGAGTGTCTTTAAGATGAAGGAGCTTGGACCGGCGAAATTTATCCTGGGAATGGAGATCGACCATAACATGACTGCTGGAACGCTTATGATTAAGCAAACGCGATACATCGATGATGTGGCGAAACGGTTCGGGCAAGAGAACGCTAAGTCGGTTGACAACCCGTGTGCAACTGGTCTTAAGTTGTCAAAGTCGCAATCGCCAGCAACGGATGAAGAGCGAAGAAAGATGCAATCGAGACCGTACCGCTCCTTAATTGGATGCCTACTGTATATCACGACGCGTACTCGCCCGGAAATTTCATTCGTGGTAACGCAACTTTCTCGTTTCCTGGAGAATCCCGGGGCGCAGCATTGGAACGCTGCTATACGTGTTCTACGCTACTTAAAGACGACTCGCCAGCACGGGATCATCTACAAAGGTGGTACTGGCAGCGTCACAGCTGAAGCCTACTCGGATGCGGACTGGGGTTTCAACCTCGACGACAGGCGTTCTGTCTCGGGGGTTATGATCATGATTGGGAACGCTCCGGTGGTGTTCAAATCTAAGTTCCAACGAACGGTTGCCCTCAGCTCAGCGGAAGCTGAGTATATGGCTTTAAGCCTATGCGTTCAGGAAGTGCTATGGACGCGTGCGATACTGACGGACATGGGAATGGTACAAATGAACGCTACCCAGATATGGGAGGACAATCAAGGAGCGATTGCTTTGGCCCAAAACGCTGGTTATCATGCTCGGACCAAGCATGTGGACATCCGTCATCACTTCATCAGAGAGACGATCGAAGACGGGACGGTTGCGGTAGCGTATGTGGACACCAAACATCAATTGGCCGACATACTGACCAAGGCGCTAGGATCCAAGACGTTCAAGTTCCTGCGCGATGCAAACAGTATCCAGTGCAAAGAAACCAAGCAGTAGCGGCGAGTGGGAGTGTTGAGAATACGCCGCTTCGTGCAGTCGTTTCATGTTGGGTTCATGGTGATGATTTCTGTGTCAGGGTGTTTCATGGTGGTTATTACGGAAGAAGGTTATGGATCGCGGTTACATGATGAGATCACAGGATGTCGTTACATTAAGGCTTAGACTTAGCTAAGGGTAGTGAACTAAGGACCTTAAATATATTCACTTCGGCTTTTACATCCAACTACCCCAACAGAGTGACAGCCGCATCGTTGTAATGTCCCCGGCTACTCACAAAGTAGTCTTTCCAAAATGCCGCTCAGCTGGATGTTGTCGATTGTTGACCACGATTTTTTGCTTCATCGAGCGCGTGTTATGCTGGTGTTTGTGGTGCGACAGCGATACCTCGTGTTGGTAAGACGGTGTGACGGTGCTCTTCTTCTGATCGTCGATCGCGTTTTTCGCATGAGTATTCAGAGCTGACGATACACGAACGGCAAAAAGTGCCGCTTTGTCACAAGTAGACCACGAAGAGGGTTTCTTGTGTAAGTAGCATACAATTGACGAGTCGTGGCGACAAGAAAATTCGCATTTACGTGAGCATCCATGCAACTTCAATAAAGGCTATCGGTGCTCTTTTTTCTCGAGCAAAAGCCGGTTTTGCGTAGCACATAAGCGCGTCAGTGCCGACTCGAACTTGTCACCTTAGTTGCATCGCGTACGTTTGCATCTGGCCAGTGCCACAAGAGGTTGCAATGATGTGAGAACGAATCTCATGCCGATCACAGTGCAGCTGATATGCAAGCCTAGTTATGCGGTTGTAAGAGCTACTACGCTCCGTACTGAGGAGGAACTTCATCGTTTTCATTACCTGTGTTGTTTCATCAATCAGGGGGCAGCCTGACAACATAACAATCAGAGGAATATACCACTTTGGATCACCATGTGTCAGTTCTCCCTTGGAGGAAGCGAATGGACATCACGCCATTTTGTCGACGCACATCTCACTCGTGAGAACCTGTCCTCTTTCGGCGCTGAAATTGTCGTTCAAACCAAACCGACGGTGACCTCATGTCTTCCCTTCACACGCAGAAAGTAACGAGAGTTGCAGTCGACGTAAACTTTAGATACTATCGTACCACATTTGAGCAGTTCTGTTTTAGCAATTGCATACTGGTTGTATGAATTGTTTCACATTGCGGCATGCAGCCTACGGTGGCCATCACAAATAAAAGAGAAATTTACCTTGCTACTGGCGAATGTTTGCTTTCAACACCCCACGCAGCATTTGACATGTAGGCTCACCGGCCTTCACAAGCGCATTTTGAAAAGAGGCCCGTTCAAAATGTAAACGCACCACCGCTGCGTCTTTGTGAGAGGACAGCATCTGCTATTCCAGCATTGCTGATAGGGACTTCTACTCTTCGCCAATCGCTTCTTTACTGCGATACGATCTAACTTTGTGGATGTAGACCCTTGAACAGTGCGGAGTTCCAAATACTCGACTAGATTGACTTGCGCATTTATTGTCGAATGTTTGCAAGGTCCGGAAAACCTCAAAATTACACCACTTGAGCGACGTAGTCATCGACCTTTTCTTCTCTTGTGCCACTTGCGAACCTTCTTAGCGCTTAGAACTTCTTCGAGAGAGAAAGACCAAAGAAAGCAATCCCCGCGTGTTTGGCGTTGTCAGTTTTCCGCTTTGACAATCTAGTGGACACTAGAAGTCATGATCTGCTTCGTAGGTCGCTTTGGATTAACACCTGTGACGCGAGCATTGACATCCCAGCAATATCTTGAGTAGAGACAAAATAAAGTAATTGGCGTCGCCAGCATACGTACTCCTTGCATAAATTGAACCCGGCGATGGCCTTGGGTTGCACTGTCCACTTAGCTCGAACATGGTTTTGCTTTGGACATCGCTTCTGTAAACAGTTTTCATAGTCACGATCGGCGAGTGTGATTTTTGAATACGATTGCTGCTCTTGATACGCATTTGCACTACCAATCTGTGACGTATATGTTGCCGAAGAGTACATCATATTCACGATTCCATGGCGCGTGTCATGGGAGATACTCAACCGCGTCTAATGAATCTGCACCAGCATCTTGTGTAGCACCTCGTACGAATTCGCAGTGATCACACCTATTCAGCAGTATGCTGCGCGTCTGTTGACTATGGCCTGCCGCTGCACTTCCCATTTACGCTCTATATTGTTGTCGTCAGGCTAAGTATGTGAACGATGATCTTGCACTCATCACTAAATCGCGTTTTCACCTGTGCTCTCACAAGTAAATCGAGTGATACAGTCGTGTTCATTGCAGGTGGTCTACCGCCCTCATTAATGCTGAGCAAATTGGGAGCAAAGTAAGTAAAGTGCGATACAAGTCGCCGCCGTCGACTACTAGCCGCAGAACAAGTTTCTATGCAAAGTTGACGGACAAGTCTGAGCTTGGCTCACTTTTTGAAACAACAGATTGTCAAAGAGACACCCGGTAAAATAAACGTTAGAGGTGGCTTGAATGAAGTGAAGTGCAAAAAGCCACTTCCTCTCGATGAAGGACGACCCCAACTTTGTCAGCTGTTGCCTTCGAAGCTGCCCTCATCTCGACAATGAAAGAAATGGTCGGAACAGGAAGTCTCTAAAACATCAAATGCAACGATCTCTCTGCACTCTGAGGCCGCATACACGTATGTAAGCGTGTTTTCTAACCTCTATACCCGGGTTAATTAACGATTGGAGCGTCTAGGGAAGTAAGACTTTGTCGGCGCGGCCAAGGAGCAAAATGTGTTTTGGCTCAGCTCGGAGACGAATCTTTTAGTGAACGCAACACACAAGAAGGTTTTGGACGATGGACTAATTTCGCACATTCAGCGACTCAATCGCTGGATGCCATCGAAAGGGGACGGTCAAATCTGCCGTCGCGTCTTGCATCGTATCAGCTTGGCGTCAGGCAAATTTACATCACCGGCTTTCCGTGTGCGGAGTAAACGCGAATACGTCATCACATGAGTGCTACACGACTCAGGTCTGAATAGGGCGAGTAGTATGACACGGAAAGCCTTTGAACTGAAGACGTACTTTCTAAAGTAGCGTATATCTAACTGCAGGTGGGTATGTAAATCGTCCGCGCGTACAGTAATCCGCCTTAGATGCATGTTACAGGACGCTATCTGCTACCTCGGAAGCACAGATCACCTACAAAATCTATGTAAATACCGATGTAAAGATCACACTGTCTTGCGTCAAAATGGATGCTTTCTTCGTTATGCTGACAGTTTCCAAGCCACAAATAAGGCTCTGTTCGCTTCCATCTACTTCTCTTTGATCTTGGATTAGAGGTTGTGTGGCTGTCCGATCGGAGAAGTCTTGTGACAATGCGGTAATACACATCCGCATTCTGTAGTTCTCTCGGTTAAACGAAAGCTTGTAGCAGACGGTCTGTGCGATTTTCCATGTCAGGGACAGTTCGAGCATACGACGCTCCACCACCAAGTTTACCTTCTACCTTCCGTCCTTCGCCCACCAACTCTGCCTCGTCACTAGAGTCGTGGCCACGAGAATCTTGCTACGCCACAACGTACCTCAGCCTGCACCAACTTCAGGCAGACCTTCTTTTCTCTGTCCTCACGACGCTGTACTCATAACGTTTTACGTATGAATGAGCAAGCGATGGTGACGTTCGAGGCCTCAAGTCCGGCATCGGCCAGAACTTTAACATCAGCTCGTCGGTCTAAAAGTGTGTTTAGCGGACCAAGCGAGCTACTTCCTTTCGGCATACATCTCCATGCCGCGTTGGGCTTTGGGTGAATAAAAAGTAATCCGACCGTACCAGACTTTTGCTCTTTCCCAGCAGTACATGTGCAACGTCATGGTTGAATTGACAGTGGCGGCAAAATGTGCGTTGTAAAGTTGTTTACACTCCACCCACCTACCATCCACCCACCTACCATCCACCCACCGTATTAAAAATGCGTGCAACAATGTATGGACGATGGGAACTGACGCAACGGGAAGATGGATTGAGCTCAGTACGCTTTATGGAATAGTTGTGCGAGAAAGGCGATGAACACTTCAGTCGGTTTGGTATCTGAATGAGAGCTGCATGCTGCGTAGATTCCAGCCTACACCTTTCCCTAGACCAAACAAGTTGTTTTGTAAAATCTATCAACGTTCGAATGCACCGCTCAACCCTACCTTGGAGATCAATACCCTTCATTCATCGTGGACGACGATGTTCACCAATTACCAGTATGTCGAACATGATTCGGTAGACTTTTACAGGAATTATCTTTGACGACATCCACAGATGAAACAGCTAGCCTTCCCAGATAGCTTTCATCGAGAGCGATCAAGCCAGGCTTGTATCAAAGTAAATGAAAGAAGTACGCTATTTCTTCGGCTCCTATCTTGCTTATTATCATCATCTCGAATTCGTCGACGATTGAAAAGAATTTTTACTTTGCATGAAACAAGTCGACAAAAATTAGCTATGGATGGGCTAACCATACAAGTCGAGCTGATCCTGCCATCCATCAAAGCCACCTAAAAGTCTGTTCTTCTTACCGACGGGTATCTCTATTCATAGGCGTCTTCGGAGCTCGTTTCTGTCTTCAGCCACTCCACTAATTAACGATTTATAGCTAGTCTTTCCAAACTTTTAGCTTGCTCCTTCATACCAGGACTACCTCGAAGCGTGATAAAAGCTCTTACCAGCTCGCCAATCCCGATTTCTCTCACCAACAGCTGAACAACATCATATTCGTCAAAGTCTCTACCTGCAGCGTTGTAAACGTTGACTAAGCCGTTGTATCAAAAAAAACAAAGTCGTCGCTTCGTAACGCTTCTACGTCACCGAGATGCCCAAAGCTCTACCTCATTCCAAGCGGCAGCAACGTGTAGACGTTCAGTAGGTCCCTTTCGAACAAAATCCACACATCAACTCCAAGTATGCCGGGAATTGTTCGAAGCGAGAACAGAAGCGTCGCCAGCCGCTCTTGTCCTAGAACCCCCGGCAGGCTCTTTAACACAGCAACGTGGCTGTACAAGTTCCTACCCAAGGTGAAACACGCTTGAGCTGATACACAAGGTTCTTATAGATATCGTATCCCTGTCCCGCTTTGATACCAAAGTACTTGAGAGCGTTCTTTGGATGCAATCTTTGCCGACTTCATCCTTTTGCAGACGCAATGTTAGCTGAAACTAGAACCCTCTCCTCGTCACCCTGGTATCCTTGGTCGATGCCGTCCACCGGCAAAATAAGGTGGCTCCAGGAGTGCCAGTGAACCGAACGTGACCATCTTCAGAGGGGAAAGGGGAATAGCGGCCAAGTCGAAAGTAGCACCCTTGGTCCAGTTCTCGCTCCTTGTGGCTATCGAGTCCGATACTCCTCACAGAACAACGGCGGCAGTTGTGAACGGCTAGCGAAGCAGACATCTGCGAGCCCTTGCTTGTTAATTTCTTGGCTCATTGAGGAATGAGTGCAGGTGAGTGCAACTGAACGCCTGCAGCGTGAATAAATTTGTTGGTATCAAGAGCTGCGAGATCTGGTCCCTGCGGTTCTTCAGCTCTATAATCTGATCCATGTGAGTCTGGCAGCTCCACATCGTGTCCCGTACTTGGAAAGAGATGAGTCTTTGGGTATAATTTAGGCCTTGACTCATCACCTGCATGTTGCTCTACATTTTACTTGCATGAATGGAATGCAACGTAGGGTCTGGTCAATGTAGGAACGCGAGTGCAAATAAAGAACAGGGCAAATTTTTCATAAGAAGCCATAGACAAACGTGTAGTAGAACAATCAAAGTCATTTGATCACGGGAAAAGTTGACATCGATGCCTTTCCATTTCGCCATTTTAGCCACAGGTCACCATCCTTTGATAATAGCTATGTGTAGCCCAACCTGTAAGGCTCCGAAACGGGTCAATAGGTCCGGATCAAACACCGACCCGTGACCCGGACCAGTCAGATCAAACATCGACCCGTGACATGGGCCAGTCGGGTCAAACACCGGGTCGACTAACAAAGCCTGGTCCGGGTCGGTCTTCTATCCACGTGTAGGGAACATTCTAAATACACCTACATGCCGTTTAGACTATCCGATTATGTTACTGTTACAAAGTCAACAAATGCTGATCGATCATTCATAATTTGGCAAGAGAACGTCCATAATTTAGTAAGAGAACATCCAATTTATTCAAGCCCCCGTTGCCTGTACGTTACCTAAACCTCCTTCATGTAGCAAAACTATTGCAACATTCCTGCCTTACTTTTTTCAATTCGGGATAGTGGTTATTAGCGCCGGCGCAACAGCAAGCCAACAGGGCGGATGCTGCACCAAAACGGATGGAGGCGAAACTATCTTGGGCTTAGTGAACAAAATTCCTCATTCGTCTCCCGTACAGAGACCATAGTTTGCTTGGTAAACGATGTCGTTTTCATCGATTGCTCTCGTAATAACGTTCGTCTCCTATTAGTGGTTCAATAAATCCTTACCATGTAATCGTTAGTATGGGAGGTGTTAGAGTACGTATCACATGATCACACATTCGCGCATTGCTATACAGCAGCTCTAAATTGATGCATCTGGCCAAACGTGGCCTCCGCGTTGTCTCGTTCCCGTGATGCACGCCGCGCCATCGGTGATGGTGACAGCTTTAAGATTATAGTGTTGGGGTGCCAAAAGTGGCAGCTGTAAAAAAAAAGCGTCGACTGGACGCTCTTTTTGGCAAGTTCTTGTCAAATATGGTTGTCAATTAATTGGACTGTCAGTGGTTATTCCGTGGCTCGCAGGGCATCAATTTTTTTTACGTGGAATTATTCGCAGTTTTCTTTCTTGCGATCAAGAGAAGAAAATGAAATTGAGGGTGGTTTGAATATTTGATTGATTGAAAAGGTGATGCATAGTCAGGTACGCTAGCGCCCGCTATGTCCAGTATGGTAGTGATCAAAATCACGAAACCTATATCTAAGTTACAATCTTAGGACATTATTGTATAACGAACCACGCCTACGCGCACCGCGAGGTGTTTTCGTGAAAAATTTTGGTTTTTTTTCTGTAAGTAGGTCCACTTGCATCCTGCGTGCACGCTTGTAAGAGTCTTGATCCAGGGATTGACTTCATTGTCAAGGTGTACTGCCAGCTCCTCACAAGTCTCCAGCAGGCCGAGATTCGTACTTGGACGGAACTGCATGCGTCCACGTATATGTTCGCCGCACAGTCAGACAGTTTGTTGTAGTCACGATAGTGACGACATCAGATGACCACAGCTACATCGTCGGCCAGATCTTTCGCCACGTCGTGTAAGTGCGCCAGTTGGGATTTGCGTGGCAAGCGATCAGTCCTGAGCTGAAAGAGCACCAAGCACTGTCCCCTACGACAGGCAGAGGCGACAACACGCTTTATTTCGCGCTGCGGAGGCCGTGCATGAGACCTTGATATTTTGCATTATCGTTAGTAGTAGTTAAATAACCATTTGCCATGCTGGCCACCCGCACGATGCCGGCTGTGTGGGTAGGTGCGTTAAGCTTGACAATGACGGAGCCAGACCCGCCCGGCTTAGGATTTCCTCGAGGTCCCCCAACGAAAAAAAAAAGGTATAGCACATCCGACTGATGTAGCATTCGTACTTCCAAATTTGCGCTTTTATACGCATGTTGATACTTTGGCACGTGGAAGTGTGCCGTTACTGTTCTAAACACCGCCGCCAAAGGCAGGCAAATGCGTCGAAAGGCTTCTATCGTGCACGGCGGGCACGGTCTCCTGAAGCAGACTGGTCGCATGGATCCAGGGCCTTCCTCGGACCAGGCACCCCGCCGATCCCGGCGTACCGGGGAGGATCGTGCAAGGGGGCGTGAGGAAGGACCTCTTACCAACCGGTAGCCGGAGCGACCCGACGAGACGGCTGGGTTATTTCTTACTAAATTAAGCTCACCGGGTCCGAATGCTCGCATACCGAGCCATCAGCCGGCGAGCGATCATCCAGTGGTCAATCGGCCAGAGAGCGTTTGCGGGCTACTTTCGGTGCCCCTTAATTACGCGGCGGCGGTAAAGGTTGACAGCGAACGGATGACCACGGGCTGGTGTTAGTACTAGCCGCTACAAAGGCATGGAAAGAAAACCGGGTGATAATTTAAGACCAATGATTCCTTTGGAGGAAATAGCGCTAAAGGCTCGAATTATGGCAGGAATTGTACAGCCTCCCCCTCCGGGATTCCTGGCATGCATGCATACGTAGACAGCGAGGGTTGCGATGCTGGAGTACAATGACGCTTATTCGGAAGGAATGGTTCTTGCGGTAGTTCCTCCGTCCATCCGAATGCCTCAACATGTTGCGGAGAAGATACTACTTCTTCAATTACTCGAACGCCGTGAAGGCCAGCCGGTGGTGGCAGAACTAGCTCGTACCCTCTTAAAGAATGCTAGAGTACACGCTACAATTTGTCAACTCACCGCATCACTTTTATGCTCCCGGATCGAGCGGCGGCAGCGGGGTGGCACTCGAAAGTAATCGGACAGAGGCGCCACGCTTCAACTATTATGCCCGGCATTTATGGAGCGCGAAGATCTTCCTTCTGACACCACTACTGCTCGGCCGCATAGTCGTGGACTTTTGCAGTACCAATTACGTGTTCTCGCCAACGGCGTGTCGGCCGGTACAGTCCATGCCATTCTTTTGTCTTTCATGAAGTGCACGGTGACCTCGGCTACCCGCGGCTTACCCAGCGCGACAGACGCCTACGATTCCAACTACTTCGTGGTCTCCTTCGACACTGCCACTTGTCCAGATCAACTGGAGCATTTTACGCGCGTATCTGCGATCGGTGCGTCGTTCTTCATACAATACCATCGTTTTTTTAGCGAGTCCCTGCTTCACATGCTACTATCCTTTTCATTCGAGCGCAAAGTGCGCGTCTTGTCCAGGTGCTCGCCTCCTGTACCACCACAGGGAGTCCACGTGGAAATCCCGCGCATCCATCCTCTTGCCTGAATTTACCTTCGCCCACCTCATGTGGCGGGCCGTATGAAGCATGTCAACAATATGACAGATCGTCTGGCAGCCTCCACGGCCAAGTTGCAAGCGGACGCGCGCACAGAACCACTGCTGTAGAAGTTACAGCAGTCTCCAGCTCCCGAACTAGATCGGATGAAGCCAAGCGCCTCTGCGAAGGAATACCAGAACCAAACCGAATGCGACGTTTATTTTGCCCGGGATCTGGAAGCAGGTAACTGATTCGACCCCGGTGGCAACAAGAAACCACGAAACAGCGCAAATATAGCAACAGTTTGAGACAGGCCACGGCTATGGGAAAACCGCAACAAAATCATGCTTACGTTTAGCAGTCTCCTGCTAGCAGCTCCCGTATTCCTCTTCGAGCGACAGCTCTAACTTTCCCCACACAAGCTACATCCGGTCAGGGTACTAAGCCTGTTTCCTCACTGGACACTTCAAAGGTGAGCCAACAAGGAAGTTAGCCCAATGCCGCGTAGAAAAAGCCTCCTACAAATACTTCGACTCCAGTCAGTCGCAGAGTGACAGCGCTAGCTGAATTAAATCATCTTCTCACTGACGAGGACAGCAGTCTAGAGCCGAACCCCACCGCTAGGACAGTTCCATCGGGCACGGTCTAAACAAGCCTCACAGGTGCTACAGCCCGAGCAGACGTTCAGATTGAAGTTGATCAAGCAAAGTTGCGCGTAATCGCGTTGCAGGCGGCAGTGGAGGAATAACTTTGAATTGCATCTGAGACAAAGGCGAAGTACTTTGAGGCTCACGAGGGGTGTTGGAATCGATAATTGCACAAGAAACGATTTACGCTGGGGAAGGTCCACCAGCCGACTTAGACGGCTTAGATCTGCCCGGATTGGAATACGACTATCGAATTGCTACCGCCCTAGCTTCGCACGCAATGGCAGTGGTTTCTGCTGCAAAGAGTGACTTGAAAATCGAGAAACGGCGACTTGCAGAGGTCACTTTAGCTGAGTCGACACCTTATGTCGTCACCGTTTTTATGCCGGAGGAAACACCGGCGAAAAAGGCGGCAATCATACGGAAAATAGCCGCGCTACAATTCACCGACTTTCGTCGTCGCATGTCTGCCGCAGGAGGGCGGAGGAACAAAAAGAAGCGGTCCGTCCCCATCGGCAGTGACGACCGCCTCCACGCCTCCTACACACTTATGTTCATCTGCGGAGACCGAGTCTCAGCCGGACCGGGTTTCCTCAATCCCGCAAAATCTGGACGTAACCATGATAAGGAGTGGCGTCACGTTTAAATAAACGATGCGTCTGGATGATTTTTATGGGGGGAAGTCACTCCTCCTCAATGTGCATCTAGTGTACCTATTCCCACATCTCTCGCCCAGGTTATCGCTAAAGATATTCAGCTGTCGGCAAACGATATCGCCGATACCTCTCACAGTGATTCTGGGAGCGCCATACTCACCAACTTTACGCTTAATTTCCCCATGGTCACCACTATAGCGGTCCATCCGGCAAAAGGCAACATACGGACTCCAGCCGACCATGCACAAACGCTCAGAGCTAAGCGGAACCGAAAACTTCATGGCACTGCCTCGGATGCAATCGTTGAGGCAGCAGTCCCGGAGCGCAAAAAACAGATTAAAGCGAACGCGACCAAGCTCAATTCCTGGGTAGCCGCATGTCGACTGTTGCCTTGCTACCTGCTCTGTCACCGTTAAGCCCGCCAGGCCAGAACGATTGGCTTACCCATTCTTCGTCCGGGATCGCAACTCTGTTGTTCGCGATCCACTTACCGGTTATATTTCCAGCAGTCATGAATGGTAAGTCGCTCCGGAACTTCGGTCATGCCATCAATAGAGACTCTCAACTAGCGGTCATTCGACAACATGCCAACCACCACGATGAGTGCCTTCGTGAACTATGTAAGGGATATGCTGCAACGGCGGATGGTTAGAAGGGGGAATTCGATGGCGGACTACCGATTCGATTCAACCATGGCGATGCGTCAATACGTTGCAACCAGATCTGCTGTGTGCAACTGTGGTCAATACGTTTACGGACATCGATCACTGGGAAGTCTTGAACGTCCTAAGCATACTATTTTCACTTTTGTGTGTCCATCCGAGCGCGGGGCCAATTTTGTGATGCCGCAGACAAAGGCGGCAGTCTACTACGCCCCGCCGCTGTTTAGGCTGCTGTTTTTGGGGTGCTATCTAAGCCGTCAAGTTAGAAAATGTTGCTCGATATCATTGCTCCTGAGGATCGGCCTTTGGCTCTAAGTAATAAGGGCACTGGATAGACCATATTCCTGCGGCGTGTCATTTGACGGCACCTCTTCCTCTGGTAGTAGGGAGGCAAAAGACGACCACACGCGCACTCTTTCCAACTATCCAATGCAATATTCAAAGGAAAAGTCACAGTTCTCATGCGAAGGGTCACACACGACCGCAAGAAATCAGTATCGGTCATCATTCACAGAAAGTCGCAAAGTTTCCCAAAACCTCGTACAGGTGTGCATAGTGGTTTGGGCATTTTAGACAGCAAGAAGATTAAGGGGTCTTTTACTTAGTTCGGCTACAGGAGCACATGTAGCCACTGGAGAAGAAGATACTACGGATTAGCTATATCACCAAATGGAGGTTCGTGCAAAAATTTGGGCGCACGATCTGAAAAGAAGCGGCAGGACCTCGGGGCGATGCCGCAATCCTGCTTCATCTATACTCCTCCATACGAGCTTTGGAGCATTGGCAGGGGAAGTTATGGACTCGCTATTAGACTGCGTTTTGCATCACCCATCAGAAGGCGTTTATTTTGGTCATCAGTGTATACGCAACAACAGTCAAAGGTGAGCGGAGGAACTGATTTGAGCTTCTTCGACATTAGGTTGAAAAGCATGGTGGTCCAGTATTAATGTGTGGTAATTTTAACTGCACCCTTCACCCACGTATCGACCGGTCATATGTGACCCCTGCGGACCGCCACTTCCCCCCAGCTCTACGCCGACTCCTCACGCGCGCACAGATGAGTGATGTACGTAAGAATGAGTTCGAGCGGGCGGTTATTGAGCTTCCGAATTTTGATACTCACGCCTTAGCGCACATGTACTTTTATACCCTTTTTGGATAAGGAGCCGCCAGTTCCCGTCTAGACCGGTGGTATGTTAGCTCCCGTCATGCCAACTAGGTCCGAGATTTTGAACAGTAAAATCCGGGTCCATCTTACGACCATAATTGTGTCACAACTTGTCTTGCATCACCCACTGTATCGTACGTGTTAGATGACCACGTCGTGTGTACCCCGTACTAGGGAGTGCAAAGGAAGACGAGAAGCTAGTCAATTTTGCTACACTTGGTATGGCGAGGCACAGTATCAAAGGGGTACGCCTTAAGAATCTCGAGGAGATTGCTACAGCTTACCGGCTTGCCGAATAGTGGGACAGCTGGAAGAAGCAGCTTCGAATATTGCTTCAGTACACAACCAAGGCTGCAAGACAGCGTATGACGCAAAGATACAAGAAGGGGCTCCGGCGACTGTATGAGAGACTTGATGAAGCTCTTCTTGCTGAGCCATCCGTGATTCTCCAGAACCTACATATAACCGAGCCGTACGACCAGTATGCCGCAATGGTTTTATCCTGGCAAATCTGCTGACAGGTTGCAGGGTGACGACGAATGTGGCGGCGAGCGAATCGCGAGATTCGTCTAACTCAGTGCAAGTAATGCTGAGGCAAGACAAGTCTTCTTTTCTTTGCCAGGGTAAAAAAAGGTTTTAAGACAACACGATAGTGGCACCATGAGGACAAGCTTCATACGAACACAAGCGTTCTCAAGAATTCGCGGAAGAAATGGAAAACAGTTGGGGACCTATAAGGATCCGATACTTCACTTCCCTGATAGCCGCTACTTCCTTTCTGGCGCAAGCCTCTCCGTCATAGGTCTTGACGACTCAGTAGTCACGATGACTATTTCCACAGACGACTCATATGATGCTTTGAAAAATCTCAAACAAGGAAAAGCGGCAATCCCTGATCAAATGAACAGCACTTTTTACAGGGACTACGCTGATGAAATTGCGCTGATTCTCGCATCTCCTTACAACAGACGGCTAGCATGAAGTCTTTCTCCAAACTTTGAAAAGTAAACAATCATTGTATCAAGAAATCGGACATTTTTGATCTTCCACTGGACCATCGTCCCATCGCCGTGCTGAACAGTGACTACAAGCTGTTCACCGGGTTTATTTCTTCTCGCCCCCACCATTTGCTTGTTCATACAGCGGTCGAAGCAAACGAGCCTCGACATTTTTGCTACGGACTAAAAGTAGTCGCATTAGACCCAAGCCAGACCGGGACGATAGCACTGCTTCTCAATTTCACAAAATCCTACGACAAACTCCAGCGTCGGTTCTTATTGTCGGTACTCAAAAGTGGCTCCGCATTTCTTAGTGGTTTCTCGGTGGTGGCGTTACTCCATCACAATACTACATGATATTTCATCATCAACGGCTACCGCTCAAGAAAATGAGATGTTCACTGCGGCATTCGTCAAGGGGACCCTTTAGCTCTTCTCCTTTTTACCCTCGCTCTCGCTAGCGCCTTCAAAGTTATACAGGCTCATCCAGAAATAAGCGGCGTGAGGATCCGGTCGGGTGACAGAGACGTGATAAATGTGTCTGGGTATGCCGACGATACGGCCGTGAACATCCGCGAACGTCGGGAGGTAAAACATGTGGTATCGGTTCTGGATGAATTCTCCGGCGTTTTAGAACTTCACACAAACCGGGCTAAGTCACTGGTGATTGAATTTAATTTAAAAGGTTCAGACGTGCCCCTAGATACCTCACGCCTAACTCTTCTTGCGCGGGGGTACTCTTGCCGGTACCTTGGTGTGATGGTCGGGCAGCAAAAAGCTACAGCCGAGTAATGGGATAAATGTATCCGATCGATCTGGTGTCGGCTCGTCCTCGCTCGAGCGAAGACGCACACTGTGGAACATCGGGCTCACCTGGATATAGCGGTCGCGGTCCCCAGATTGCTTTGGTAGTCATTGTTGGCCTCCCATAGGAATAGTCGCATGGCTTCACTAAGATCATGTGCTTTATACAGGGGGCGAGGGAAGTCAAACGTGTTAGATCTTGGGTTTTACAAGAAATTGCATCTCTTCCTGTAATGCAGGGAAGGATATGAAAATCATGCATCAGGACGTGATCGTTAAAAATGGCTGCAACAGTGGTTGGCGAATGGACGTCAGCTGTCTCGCAGCGAAAACTCCTGATCGGGGGCGTCCTCTGTCGGTCAGAGGATGGGAAACACACAACACACCAAGCTGGATAGCTAAACTGCAACCTCAAATACAAGACTTCTTTATGAGACTGGAGATGTAGTGGTGGGCCTGACGACTACCCACTATATTCGTCATGAAGACATGCCGACTGTTCGACTCCGAGATTTCTGATTATCTTTACCGCCAACACGGTCTGCAACAATGATAATAGTGTCACCATAAATTTTCTTTAAGCATTAATCGAAGAAGTGCAAAACGGTATTAATGAAAATGTCACCTCAACGGGCCGTTTCAAATTAGATGGATCGATAATGTGACAATGCAAGATATTTCATGGCTCCGGGATCGTCGGGGAACAACAACAAGCTGCACAGATTTATTTTTATTTCGCGGGTCACGCAGTTTCAGCGATGTGCTGTCATGTTCCTCTATACAGCCTGGAGTGACTTGTTTATCGCTTGTACCAATATGACAACACAGTCTTTAGCGAAGCGGCAGCACTTTGAAATATCCGTCTAGCACTCACTTACTACTCTTACTTCAATAATGCATCAAGCGCTCCCGCAAGGAGCACTGGTCGCAAATATGTCGAAGGTGCATCAGCATCACGAATGGTTAATGGACAACAGGAACGATTCCCTTTCACATTTAGACACATTCATACTAGGCAACACAGCGGTATTTGACGATATGCTCCGGTGTGATAGAGGAGCAGTTCGTGAGAGCAAGACTCCAGTACATTTTGGGGCTCATCCGGCGCTTTTACCGATGTTGCATCAATTGGCCGGTTCTAGACGGTGGAAATCACAGAGAAAAATGCAAAAGAAGCTTATCGCCAGCTACCACTAGCGAACGGGAGAACAAAAGCGCAAGTTTACAATACTAAACAACGCCTTCTAAATTATTTTAGATAACACCGGTATTTTAGCATGGCGCGATATCCGCCGGATCTGAGCAACGTTTCCGACAGAAGCACAACGCTGTATTGACTCAAGAGTAACAGCTTCCCGTTATGGAACTGGGCGGCGCAAGACGTCTCATGCACAAACACCGAGTGTGACAAGAATAACCTCGCATCAACAAGTCATGTCCTCTGGAGCTGCATCCGTGCAAAACCTCATTGGGCCCATCTACGGTTAGTGTGGCGCTGTCTAGGAGCTTTTTGTGAGGCCGAAATGCACATCTGGGTGTTCAATAGGTGAGCTTAAGGAGATATTCCGTAGAGCTATCTCATTTACATCGAGAGCCCAGGTCGACTTATAGACGATGGTAGTATCACAATTGATGCTCGCAGAGTAATTGATGATCAACTGCGTTCCGGAATGCGAGCGGAAGTAGCATCCTCGGGGCGTTTTGACTACCGGTGGTTGGTGTACGCAACTCTGTAGGATATGTCATGGCTGAGGGATAGCCGCGGTTAGGCATGTTAATTAAAGGGGTCAATTTCGCGAGGGGACAGCGTTACCTTGGCAACAAATTGTCTTGGAATAATTCGCAGAGAAAGATTGCCTGTTTTTCACCTACGCGTGGCATGGCTACCCAATCGATGGCGAAACGGCGGCATTTTGGGTCCTTTTGCGTCGCCCTCTCGTACAACTTTCCAACATCGATGTATCGGGCAATTGAGCCGGTCGCGTTGATTGCGTACTCGACAAAGGTGCACCAGTATCATGATTGGCTACTTCGTCTTGACGGTAAATCGATGACTCATTTTGATACGGGCATGGACCGCGGAGTACAGACCGTCTCGTCCATGTCGGCCTGTGATGTTGCCGCGTCTACGGCCAGTGGAACCCCTGTCCACTTTAACGCGCATCCGGCGCTTTCACGTGTTGTAAAATTTTGGGCTGGGAGGCGACGATGGAGGCCAAAGCAGCAAACTTAAACTGACGATCTGCCCACACCGTCGCGCTGCAGGCACTCGCATTCTCAGTAATCGTCGGGCGAAGGAGGACTTTAAGTTGGTTTCGGAAGGTACGCCGTTAATTACTTGGCGAGGAATCCGGCAGATTCGAGCTTCCTTTTCGACCAATGCTCAGACGCTTTATCGATGAAGAGTAACAGCTTCCCTCTATGGGATTGAGCTAATCATGATCTGTCGTGCCCCGTACGAAAGTGTGTGGCTACAGGTCCGGCGACATCATGCCACGTATTCTGGAAATGCCCTAGCGCACGTCGCCACTGGACCCATCTCCTTAATCCGTGGCGGGGGCTCGGCTCTTTTCCGGCAACCGACTTGAATGTATGGGTGTTTGGCCTCGATCTCCCAGATATCCCGCACGCCGCATGGTATGTTATCAAACAGTCTTTCCATACTGGCACAGATGTTAAGAAAGCTCAGGCTGTATTCCTCCCTACTTCTCGAGAGCTATGGCGTTTTGTCGTATCTACAACACTCCATGCCATCTGGGTCGAGTGCCTCCGCCGCATGGACGACTCGTCTTTGACTCAAGAAGTACACACAGAAGATTTCATACTCTCTTTCGACGTGCGTTCAGCCGGTTTCGTGGGACAACCTACAAGCCTGACAAGGGCGGGGACGAGAAACTCTTTGCACAAGTCAGGTTTGCAATGGCTGATAAGATTCTCAGCTCCGGCGATCCGCCTGTGCTACAACGGCTTTCTTTTGCACAGTGACCTGGAGTGATGTACCTTCTATTTTATGACGGAGGATATAGAGTCAATCCTGGTCCGGGCGGAGCTAGATCCGTCAATGCCCAACTACACATTCCGACACACGCCGCTTTCGTTCTGTGGGTGTCCAGCATGGCGTACGGTTCTCCTGATACCACTAATAATGTAGCTGAATACTGGGGCCTCGTAATAGGTCTTCAGCAGGCTAAGAACAGCGGCTTCTCTCCTCTGCATGTTGTTGGAATGTTGGAAATGGGTGCAAGGGTACGTAACGGTGATCGGAGTGTTCGGCCGGTGACTTGGGGTTTATTTGGAAAGCTGATGTCACAAATTCGCTGTGCGTAAATGGTGGACGCAGAGTGACAAGCAGGATAGTGACCCGAGTAGAGCCAGAATGCGTGTGAGATGGATGAATGGAGCAGAGGGCTTTGGCGATCATGGCAGAGAAGAGAGAACTAGTAAGGAAATACAACAGAATCTTATTGTTCACCGAACGCTTCCTTCTCGCAACACGCATCTTGCCTACAGGTTATGAGCCCAATGACCGCAACCACCGACCCGACTACGAAGACACCAGGGGGTGTCCCGCGAGCCACGCCCGGGCGCCTACCGCACCCGCAGTCGTCAACGATGGACCCGCTCGCGAGAGCGGGAAGCGAGACGATAAGATCCTCATCGCGTTTGCCGCACTCACCGATCGACAGGCGAGCCTCGAGTCGTCGCAGAGAGTGCGAGACGAGGAGGAGCGCATGCTCGCGGCCGTGGAGAGCGGACCGTTCGCCTCGAAATCGGCGCTAACATGCGTGGCCGACCGATGACGATAGACGCGATCGGAGACGCGGAGAAGAAGGCACCGGTGCCACTTAAGTACCAGCGCGCGACTGATCTTGGCGCGTCGCGATTCGCATCGCTCGAGCCACCTCGCGCGCGCGCAGCACCGCAGCTGCAGCAGCGCGCACCAGCGTCTGCGCCACCTCCGCAGAAGCATGTAGCGCTACCTCCGCCGCAACAATTCGCTCCGCCACAAGCCTATGTGCGACCGGGCCTCAACGGCTACGGGATGCCGTCCGCTAGCCAGCGGAAGTTGAACATACGCAAGTTCGATGGTACGGAGCTGTACCGCGGACTCGGGAGCGGATTCTTTGACTGGGGGCGTACGTTCCTGCGCGCGGTGAGCCTCGCGGAAGCGTCGTGTGGTTTCGGATGGACCCGAGACGTCAAGGTCGACCTGCTTGGGCACTTTCTCGCCGGCACGGCTGAGAGGTACTATCACAAGCAGGTCGATACCTGGTGGACGCAATCACCCACACTGGAGTACATCATGGAGCAGCTTCTGCGCACGTTCAAGACGTCAATCACTGCAAGCCAGGCGATGAAGTTATTCATGGCCAAGAAGGACGCACGACGCACCTGGGCCGAGCACTTCCTGTACATGGTCGCCGTCAGCGAGGCATGCGGTGGTGCCGACTCGCTTGTTCTTGAAAACATCGTCCACCACGCTTCGCCGGAGCTGGTGAACGTAATGCGCTCCAAGTATGAGCCCAATCGACTCGACTACCTGCGCCATGCTGAGGAGCTGGCGCACTTCGCGCAGTCCATTGAGCACGGCAGCAGCGCGGTGGGTCGTGAGGTCGTCGCCGCGCACGTGGAAGGCAAACCCAAGGGCGCGATCACGTGCTACCGATGTGGGCGACCAGGCCACATCGCAGCCAACTGTCGCGCGCGAGTCGTGCACGAAGACGAGACACCCGCGAAGGGTGGAGGCGCCATCATGATCCTTGCACTGACCGATAAGCGCAGAGCGACCACGAAGAAGCGCAACAGGAGGAAGAAGGGCTCGCGCGGCAAGGACGCCGCAGCGACCAATGTAAGTGATGGGGCGCGAACCATAGACGACTCATGCGGCTTCGTGCTTACGCCGAGCGACAGAGTAAGAGCCACGGACGGCACGAGCGGCCTCGTACTTGCGGCGACCGATGCCACGGGCGTCGACCGAGGAGACTGGATCCTCGATAGCGGCGCGAGCCGGCATCTTGTCAACGACGAGTCGCTGCTGCTCAAGTCGACGGCTTGCAGCCACGAGATTGCGATGGCAGACGGCGAGTCGCTTCACCTGACGCGTGTCGGCAGCGTGCGCCTCGAGGTTCTTGCGCGCGGCGCTGAAGCGGTAGTGACGCTCACGGGTGTGTGCTTGGCGCTGCGACTGGCAAAGAACATTGTGTCGTACGGCAAGCTCGCCAACAAAGGATTTGCCCTAGTGCACTCCGGCGAAAGGCGCTCGCTCGCTCGGTGCAGAGATGGTGCGGTCGCGTTCGGTGTCACAATCGACAGCAACGTGCTGTATGTCGTGACGAAGGCCACGCGCGACAAGGAAGGTGCAGGCGGAGACGCGATCATGGCGGCGCTCGAAGCGCATGCAACGGAAACCAACGCTGATGAGCCGCACGAAGCCTCGCTGTTGCACTGGCACCAGAGACTCGGCCACCTTGCGTTCGACACGATCGAACGCATGGCGCGCGATCCGGCATCGGGCATTAGGCTCAGCAACAACAAGCGTATGGCGTGCGTGTCGTGCCTCGAGGGCAAGCAGACGCGCAACGCACAGTCCCAACAAGACAGCGGCAAGCACTCGCCCATCGATCGCATCGGAGGCGTCATCTGTTCGGACCTGAAGGGTCCAATGACGCCGCGGGACCGACTCGGCAATCGTTACCTTGTGAACTTCGTTGATCACAAGAGCAACAACTGCCGAGTATTCCTCGCGCCCACGAAGGACGCTGCGGCGAGGCAGTTCGAGGCGTTTCTCGTCCACTTCGAGAAGCTTTTCGGGTTCAAGGTCCACGTGCTCCGCACGGACGGCGGCAGAGAATACGCCAACGTGGACCTGTTCTGCGAGCGCACGGGCGTCACGCGCCAAGTGTCGGAGGCGCGAAATCAGGCCTCAAACGGCAAGGCGGAACGAATGCACCGGACAGTGCTGAACCTTGCGCGCAGCATGATGTTTGCCTGCGCGCTGCCCCTGGTGTTCTGGGGAGACGCGGTACTATACGCCGTTCACATCCTCAACCGGAGCCCTACGCGAGCTAACGCAAAGAGAGCGTCACCACTCGAGGTGCTGACGGGCAAGACGCCGGATCTGCGTGGAATTGTCGTTTTTGGCTCCCAGTGCAGCGTGTATAGAGACCCGCGCAAGAACTCGCTGCTGCAGCGCTCGGGGCGCGCCATCATTGTCGGCGTCAGCGAGGAAATCAAGGGCTACAAGGTGCTGCTGCCGCGTGACAATAAAGTGGTCGTCACGCAGCACATCAAGAATATCGAGACACTGACGGAGGCGCAAAACGCGCAACTCCAGCGCGCGATGGACGTCGGCGATCGATCCGGAGGCCAGGAGGAGACGGACGCGCCAGCAGCAGCAGTGGCGAACGATGGTCGCGCAGAGGGCAACAGGGAGACGCGTAAAATCAAAAAGAGATGGACGCGAAAGGCGCATGGAACACGCGGGGCGTTGAAACGCGCAGAAGCGGCTGCTCGTCAGGAGGAGACAGCCGCGAGCGGAGAAGTCGTAAATGCTGCTTTCGAGCATGATCCGCTTAACTACGGACAGGCGATGCTCAGCAGCAAGCGCGAAGGGTGGAAGAAGGCGATGCAAGAGGAGATCGCCGCGCTCGAGGCCAACGACGTCTGGACTATTACAAGGCGAACGGCAGGACAGCATGCGCTGCACACAAAATGGGTCTACAAGACCAAGACAGATGCACAGGGCGACCTCGAGCGGCTGAAAGCGCGACTGGTGGCGTGTGGCAACGAACAGGTGCTTGGCGTCGACTACACGCTCACCTTCGCTGCCGTGATGGAACTATCGACGGTCAAAGTGATCCTGGCGCTTGCGGCTACGTGGGGGGTGCCTGCCAAGCACGGTGACATCCCCAACGCCTACGTTAAAGCATACAAGGAGCCGCACCTGCGCATCTATCTACAGATACCGCGCGGCATGCCAGTCTCGAAGGAGACGCTACGAGCGCAAGGCGTTTCGAACACGAGCGAGCTGGTGCTGGAGCTGCGGAAGAGCCTCTACGGGCTTAAGCAGGCAGACGGCTGTGGAGCCAGCTGCTGCACTCGAAGCTCTCCACTGCCGGTTTCAAGCGGTGTAAGAGCGACATGTGTTTTTACTGGAAGCACGACGGCGACGACCTCGTCGTGGTCGGCGTGTATGTCGACGATCTTCTAGCGACAGGGACGAGCGCGGCGGCGGTCGAGCGGTTCTTTGCAAGCCTCGCGTCGTTGTCGATCAATGACCTGGACCGTGTCAGCAAATTCCTGGGAATGCGCGTGACGCACAACGGTCAGAATGGGTACACGCTCGATCAGGAGGAGGCCATAAGAGACCTCTTACGCGACAACGGACTCGCTGACGCCAACTCGACGTGGATGCCGATCTACGACAGCTGCTACGAGTTGAAGGAGGGCGACGCGGAGCTTCTTGGGACGCCAAGCGCGAAATTAGGACCGACTGTGCGCCAGTTTCAGTCGCTGGTCGGCTCGCTGCTCTGGGTGGCGCGTTGCACGCGCCCTGACATAGCGTTTGCGGTGCACAAGGTCACGAGACGAGCCCATGCGCCTCGACTAGCAGACTGGAAGTTAGCTAAACGCATCTCGCGATACCTCAAGGGTACGGCGGCGATTAAGATCACGATGATCGCAGAAGACAATTTAGGTGCGGCGATACGACTAGAAGCGTTCAGCGACGCCGACTTTGCCGCCGACAAGACGGACCGGAAGTCAATGACGGGCGGCATCGTGATGCTGAACGGGATGGCCGTCAGCTGGGCTGCGCGGAAGCAGGGAGGCGTCTCCCTGTCGACGATGGAGGCGGAATTTGTCGCGGCGACTGAAGTCGCGCGCGAGCTGCTCGGCCTGCGCGAGATGTTGTGCGAAGTGGGCGTGGAGCCCACGCTTCCGATGCAGTTGCGGGTGGACAACCAAGCGGCGATCGCGCAGATCGCGGGAGAGGCATCGTCGCTGAAGGCAAAACATGTGGATGTGCGCCTTAAGTTTCTTTGCGACTACTCGCGTCGCGGCATCATCACGGCGAGCTACGTCAGATCGGAGCAAATGCTCGCAGACCTCCTCACGAAGGCGTTGGACGCGACGAAGCTCTCGACACTGCGCGCACTCGTGCGCATTGGTTAAGAAAAGGTCAAGGACGATCAAGGGCGATCAAGGAGCTCAGGGATAGAGGAGCACAGGGACAAGGACATTTGCAAGCTCAAGAAATGGAACTGGTTTGAGGGCAAGTCACGACCGAGGAGGAGTGTTGGAATGTTGGAAATGGGTACAAGGGTACGCAACGGTGATCGGAGTGTTCGGCCGGTGACTTGGGGTTTATTTGGAAAGCTGATGTCACAAACTCGCTGTGCGTAAATGGTGGACGCAGAGTGACAAGTAGGATAGTGACCCGAGTAGAGCCAGAATGCGTGTGCGATGGATGAATGGAGCAGAGGGCTTTGGCGATCATGGCAGAGGAGAGAGAACTAGTAAGGAAATACAACAGAATCTTATTGTTCACCGAACGCTTCCTTCTCGCAACACGCATCTTGCCTACAGGTTATGAGCCCAATGACCGCAACCACCGACCCGACTACGAAGACACCAGGGGGTGTCCCGCGAGCCACGCCCGGGCGCGGCTCGCCAGCGCGTGCGCCTACCGCACCCGCAGTCGTCAACGATGGACCCGCTCGCGAGAGCGGGAAGCGAGACGATAAGATCCTCATCGCGTTTGCCGCACTCAACGATCGACAGGCGAGCCTCGAGTCGTCGCAGAGAGTGCGAGACGAGGAGGAGCGCATGCTCGCGGCCGTGGAGAGCGGACCGTTCGCCTCGAAATCGGCGCTAACATGCGTGGCCGACCGATGACGATAGACGCGATCGGAGACGCGGAGAAGAAGGCACCGGTGCCACTTAAGTACCAGCGCGCGACTGATCTTGGCGCGTCGCGATTCGCATCGCTCGAGCCACCTCGCGCGCGCGCAGCACCGCAGCTGCAGCAGCGGGCACCAGCGTCTGCGCCACCTCCGCAGAAGCATGCAGCGCTACCTCCGCCGCAACAATTCGCTCCGCCACAAGCCTATGTGCGACCGGGCCTCAACGGCTACGGGATGCCGTCCGCTAGCCAGCGGAAGTTGAACATACGCAAGTTCGATGGTACGGAGCTGTACCGCGGACTCGGGAGCGGATTCTTTGACTGGGGGCGTACGTTCCTGCGCGCGGTGAGCCTCGCGGAAGCGTCGTGTGGTTTCGGATGGACCCGAGACGTCAAGGTCGACCTGCTTGGGCACTTTCTCGCCGGCACGGCTGAGAGGTACTATCACAAGCAGGTCGATACCTGGTGGACGCAATCACCCACACTGGAGTACATCATGGAGCAGCTTCTGCGCACGTTCAAGACGTCAATCACTGCAAGCCAGGCGATGAAGTTATTCATGGCCAAGAAGGACGCACGACGCACCTGGGCCGAGCACTTCCTGTACATGGTCGCCGTCAGCGAGGCATGCGGTGGTGCCGACTCGCTTGTTCTTGAAAACATCGTCCACCACGCTTCGCCGGAGCTGGTGAACGTAATGCGCTCCAAGTATGAGCCCAATCGACTCGACTACCTGCGCCATGCTGAGGAGCTGGCGCACTTCGCGCAGTCCATTGAGCACGGCAGCAGCGCGGTGGGTCGTGAGGTCGTCGCCGCGCACGTGGAAGGCAAACCCAAGGGCGCGATCACGTGCTACCGATGTGGGCGACCAGGCCACATCGCAGCCAACTGTCGCGCGCGAGTCGTGCACGAAGACGAGACACCCGCGGAGGGTGGAGGCGCCATCATGATCCTTGCACTGACCGATAAGCGCAGAGCGACCACGAAGAAGCGCAACAGGAGGAAGAAGGGCTCGCGCGGCAAGGACGCCGCAGCGACCAATGTAAGTGATGGGGCGCGAACCATAGACGACTCATGCGGCTTCGTGCTTACGCCGAGCGACGGAGTAAGAGCCACGGACGGCACGAGCGGCCTCGTACTTGCGGCGACCGATGCCACGGGTGTCGACCGAGGAGACTGGATCCTCGATAGCGGCGCGAGCCGGCATCTTGTCAACGACGAGTCGCTGCTGCTCAAGTCGACGGCTTGCAGCCACGAGATTGCGATGGCAGACGGCGAGTCGCTTCACCTGACGCGTGTCGGCAGCGTGCGCCTCGAGGTTCTTGCGCGCGGCGCTGAAGCGGTAGTGACGCTCACGGGTGTGTGCTTGGCGCTGCGACTGGCAAAGAACATTGTGTCGTACGGCAAGCTCGCCAACAAAGGATTTGCCCTAGTGCACTCCGGCGAAAGGCGCTCGCTCGCTCGGTGCAGAGATGGTGCGGTCGCGTTCGGTGTCACAATCGACAGCAACGTGCTGTATGTCGTGACGAAGGCCACGCGCGACAAGGAAGGTGCAGGCGGAGACGCGATCATGGCGGCGCTCGAAGCGCATGCAACGGAAACCAACGCCGATGAGCCGCACGAAGCCTCGCTGTTGCACTGGCACCAGAGACTCGGCCACCTTGCGTTCGACACGATCGAACGCATGGCGCGCGATCCGGCATCGGGCATTAGGCTCAGCAACAACAAGCGTATGGCGTGCGTGTCGTGCCTCGAGGGCAAGCAGACGCGCAACGCACAGTCCCAACAAGACAGCGGCAAGCACTCGCCCATCGATCGCATCGGAGGCGTCATCTGTTCGGACCTGAAGGGTCCAATGACGCCGCGGGACCGACTCGGCAATCGTTACCTTGTGAACTTCGTTGATCACAAGAGCAACAACTGCCGAGTATTCCTCGCGCCCACGAAGGACGCTGCGGCGAGGCAGTTCGAGGCGTTTCTCGTCCACTTCGAGAAGCTTTTCGGGTTCAAGGTCCACGTGCTCCGCACGGACGGCGGCAGAGAATACGCCAACGTGGACCTGTTCTGCGAGCGCACGGGCGTCACGCGCCAAGTGTCGGAGGCGCGAAATCAGGCCTCAAACGGCAAGGCGGAACGAATGCACCGGACAGTGCTGAACCTTGCGCGCAGCATGATGTTTGCCTGCGCGCTGCCCCTGGTGTTCTGGGGAGACGCGGTACTATACGCCGTTCACATCCTCAACCGGAGCCCTACGCGAGCTAACGCAAAGAGAGCGTCACCACTCGAGGTGCTGACGGGCAAGACGCCGGATCTGCGTGGAATTGTCGTTTTTGGCTCCCAGTGCAGCGTGTATAGAGACCCGCGCAAGAACTCGCTGCTGCAGCGCTCGGGGCGCGCCATCATTGTCGGCGTCAGCGAGGAAATCAAGGGCTACAAGGTGCTGCTGCCGCGTGACAATAAAGTGGTCGTCACGCAGCACATCAAGAATATCGAGACACTGACGGAGGCGCAAAACGCGCAACTCCAGCGCGCGATGGACGTCGGCGATCGATCCGGAGGCCAGGAGGAGACGGACGCGCCAGCAGCAGCAGTGGCGAACGATGGTCGCGCAGAGGGCAACAGGGAGACGCGTAAAATCAAAAAGAGATGGACGCGAAAGGCGCATGGAACACGCGGGGCGTTGAAACGCGCAGAAGCGGCTGCTCGTCAGGAGGAGACAGCCGCGAGCGGAGAAGTCGTAAATGCTGCTTTCGAGCATGATCCGCTTAACTACGGACAGGCGATGCTCAGCAGCAAGCGCGAAGGGTGGAAGAAGGCGATGCAAGAGGAGATCGCCGCGCTCGAGGCCAACGACGTCTCGACTATTACAAGGCGAACGGCAGGACAGCATGCGCTGCACACAAAATGGGTCTACAAGACCAAGACAGATGCACAGGGCGACCTCGAGCGGCTGAAAGCGCGACTGGTGGCGTGTGGCAACGAACAGGTGCTTGGCGTCGACTACACGCTCACCTTCGCTGCCGTGATGGAACTATCGACGGTCAAAGTGATCCTGGCGCTTGCGGCTACGTGGGGGTGCCTGCCAAGCACGGTGACATCCCCAACGCCTACGTTAAAGCATACAAGGAGCCGCACCTGCGCATCTATCTACAGATACCGCGCGGCATGCCAGTCTCGAAGGAGACGCTACGAGCGCAAGGCGTTTCGAACACGAGCGAGCTGGTGCTGGAGCTGCGGAAGAGCCTCTACGGGCTTAAGCAGGCAGACGGCTGTGGAGCCAGCTGCTGCACTCGAAGCTCTCCACTGCCGGTTTCAAGCGGTGTAAGAGCGACATGTGTTTTTACTGGAAGCACGACGGCGACGACCTCGTCGTGGTCGGCGTGTATGTCGACGATCTTCTAGCGACAGGGAAGAGCGCGGCGGCGGTCGAGCGGTTCTTTGCAAGCCTCGCGTCGTTGTCGATCAATGACCTGGACCGTGTCAGCAAATTCCTGGGAATGCGCGTGACGCACAACGGTCAGAATGGGTACACGCTCGATCAGGAGGAGGCCATAAGAGACCTCTTACGCGACAACGGACTCGCTGACGCCAACTCGACGTGGACGCCGATCTACGACAGCTGCTACGAGTTGAAGGAGGGCGACGCGGAGCTTCTTGGGACGCCAAGCGCGAAATTAGGACCGACTGTGCGCCAGTTTCAGTCGCTGGTCGGCTCGCTGCTCTGGGTGGCGCGTTGCACGCGCCCTGACATAGCGTTTGCGGTGCACAAGGTCACGAGACGAGCCCATGCGCCTCGACTAGCAGACTGGAAGTTAGCTAAACGCATCTCGCGATACCTCAAGGGTACGGCGGCGATTAAGATCACGATGATCGCAGAAGACAATTTAGGTGCGGCGATACGACTAGAAGCGTTCAGCGACGCCGACTTTGCCGCCGACAAGACGGACCGGAAGTCAATGACGGGCGGCATCGTGATGCTGAACGGGATGGCCGTCAGCTGGGCTGCGCGGAAGCAGGGAGGCGTCTCCCTGTCGACGATGGAGGCGGAATTTGTCGCGGCGACTGAAGTCGCGCGCGAGCTGCTCGGCCTGCGCGAGATGTTGTGCGAAGTGGGCGTGGAGCCCACGCTTCCGATGCAGTTGCGGGTGGACAACCAAGCGGCGATCGCGCAGATCGCGGGAGAGGCATCGTCGCTGAAGGCAAAACATGTGGATGTGCGCCTTAAGTTTCTTTGCGACTACTCGCGTCGCGGCATCATCACGGCGAGCTACGTCAGATCGGAGCAAATGCTCGCAGACCTCCTCACGAAGGCGTTGGACGCGACGAAGCTCTCGACACTGCGCGCACTCGTGCGCATTGGTTAAGAAAAGGTCAAGGACGATCAAGGGCGATCAAGGAGCTCAGGGATAGAGGAGCACAGGGACAAGGACATTTGCAAGCTCAAGAAATGGAACTGGTTTGAGGGCAAGTCACGACCGAGGAGGAGTGTTGGAATGTTGGAAATGGGTACAAGGGTACGCAACGGTGATCGGAGTGTTCGGCCGGTGACTTGGGGTTTATTTGGAAAGCTGATGTCACAAACTCGCTGTGCGTAAATGGTGGACGCAGAGTGACAAGTAGGATAGTGACCCGAGTAGAGCCAGAATGCGTGTGAGATGGATGAATGGAGCAGAGGGCTTTGGCGATCATGGCAGAGGAGAGAGAACTAGTAAGGAAATACAACAGAATCTTATTGTTCACCGAACGCTTCCTTCTCGCAACACGCATCTTGCCTACATGCCTACGCCGCATGGGATGTTATCAAACAGTCTTTCCACACTGGCACAGATGTTAAGAAAGCTCAGGCTGCATTCCTCCCTACTTCTCGAGAGCTGTGGCGTTTTGTCGTATCTACAACACTCCATGCCATCTGGGTCGAGTGCCTCCGCTGCATGGACGACTCGTCTTTGACTCAAGAAGTACACACAGAAGATTTCATACTCTCTTTCGACGTGCGTTCAGCCGGTTTCGTGGGACAACCTACAAGCCTGACAAGGGCGGGGACGAGAAACTCTTTGCACAAGTCAGGTTTGCAATGGCTGATAAGATTCTCAGCTCCGGCGACCCGCCTGTGCTACAACGGCTTTCTTTTGCACAGTGACCTGGAGTGATGTACCTTCTATTTTATGACGGAGGATATAGAGTCAATCCTGGTCCGGGCGGAGATAGATCCGTCAATGCCCAACTACACATTCCGACACACGCCGCTTTCGTTCTGTGGGTGTCCAGCATGGCGTACGGTTCTCCTGATACCACTAATAATGTAGCTGAATACTGGGGCCTCGTAATAGGTCTTCAGCAGGCTAAGAACAGCGGCTTCTCTCCTCTGCATGTTGTGGGGGACAGTGCGATAGTACCTTTGCAGCTTCGAACTCGCCACCCTCCACGCACGCCTCACTTAATCCGGTTACTTCGCGAAGCGTGCGTCCTCGATTATGCTTTCGAGGTCTCCAGCTGGGAACATCATTATCGCACTTACAACAAAATGGCAGATCGACTGCAAATATCGCCATGAATACAAGGGCTTCAATTCAGGTGCACGCGTCCTCCTTCCAAGTTGAGGTCAAGAAGACTACAGCGTTTCTCAACAATGATGTCAACCACTGGCTGAAGACCTCTCACACCGAGAGATTTATGCCGCGCGGTCCTTCAGATCACCCTGGGGTGATTTGCGAGTACCCTGACTTAGTTTGAACTCCTTACAGGACCCGCAATCCTCATTACACTATGGGGCTTTTCGGCTTGTAGGGCCTCCGGACGGCACCGGCCACCCATTGGTGGTTGCTCGTCTACATTATTAGCCTATCTCCGGCGCCCTGTTATCGAACCCCCACCGGGTATCGATCCAGGTACCTCCCGGTCCCAGTTCCAGTGGTCTACCACTCGGCCACTGGGGTCGGTCTAGACCTCTCACACCGAACGTACACAATACCAAACCTTACGCTAACGCCGAGGAACCGGATCATCTCGAGACAAGAGGCTGCGCGTAGGCGCTCTGCTGTTCGAGGACAAATTCTACCTAGTTTATAAAGTAGTCGCTGCCGCGGCAGCTCTGCTGCCCGATGACAGGATATAGTGGGTCGCTCGCGTACCTAAATATACCTCACCTCATCATCATCATCATCACATCTGGGTGTTCGCCATTGAAATTTTCGGGAAGACGACAGCAGCTTGGACGGCAATTCAGCGATCCCTCGCGATAAGCGTTGAGTAGTACAAAGAAAAGTCAGCAGGCTTGCACGCGGCGAATGTTCTGTGGCAATTTGTCGTTTCGTCTTCGCTACATGCTACGTGGATAAAGCGCCTCAATAGGATGGGCGATACCTTCCTGCCAGAAGAAGCGTACATTTCTATGGCTACATCACACCTGCGTCGTGTGCTGACACGATTTTGAAGCTCTGCATACCAAGCGGAAGGTGATGATGATGTTCAGATACTAGTGCAGGTTCGGTTGGCACTGGCCGACACCTTCTACTACACGATGAACCATTCCGCCATGGCCTATACGGCTGGTATATCAGTGAGTAAGAAGGTGAGGTATATTAGGTACGCTGGCGACCCACTATATCCAGTACGGCAATGATAAAAAGCACCAAACATACATCTAAGTTTTAAGCTCAGGCTAGTGTGGTTCCACGAAAGACACCTCCGCGCAGAACGAGGTGCCTTCGTGAGAGAATTCAATCTTTTTCTGTGTAAGTGGTTCCACTTGCATTCTGCGTGCTCGGAAGTGGAAGTCTCGATCCAGTGAATGATGTCGTTGTCATGGTGTGCAGCCAGCTCCTGATCGACTCTTCGGCCTGACGGGATTCGGACTTAGACGGAGCTGCACGTGTCCATGGCTATGTTCGCTGCACAGTCGGCCATTTTGTGATAGTCGTAATAGGGATGACCCCAGCTGGCCACAGCTACTTCTTCAACCAGATCTCTCGCCACGTCGTATAAGTGCGCCAATTCGGGTTCAAGAGGTGAGCTATAGGTCCTGAGTTGCAAGAGCACCAAGAACTGTCCCCTACGACAGGCAGAGGCGACAACTCGCCTTCTTAGCACGGCGTAGACCGTGCACAAGACCTTGATATTCGGCAAAATCGTTAGTAGTAGTTGGATTGACCATTTGCCATGCTGGCCACCCACAAGATACCGGCTGTGTGGGTAGGTGCGTAAAGCTTGACAGTGGCGGAGCCAGACCCGCCCGGCCCAGGATTTCCTCAAGGTTCATCATCGAAGAAAAGCAGTTATAGCACACCTGGCTGGTCAACCACCCGTATTTTTTGCAGTGGAAATAATTAATCTTGTGGTAGAAGCGTGTCGTCCAGTGCCCATCGCATCTGCGAGAGTATTTGGCCATCATCATCACCTTCCGCTTGGTATGCAGAGCTTCAAAATCGTGTCAGCACACGACGCAGGTGTGACGTAGGCCTGGAAATGTGCGCTTCTTCTGGCAGAAAGGTATCGCCCATCCTATTGAGGTGCTTTATCCACGTAGCATGTAGCGACGATGAAACAACAAATTGCCACAGTTCATTCGCCGCGTAAAAGACTGCTTACTCTGCTTTGTACTGATCAACGCTTATCGCGAGGGATCGCTGAATTGACGTCCAGGCTGCTGACGGCTGCCCTGAGAGCTCCATGGCAAACACCCAGACGTGCATGTCGGCCTCGTCAAAAGCTCCTAGACATTGCTACAGCGACCGCAGGTGGGACTAATAGCGTTTCGCGCTGGTGCAGATCCAGAAGGCATGACTTGTTGGTGCGAGATTATTCTTGTCGCACTCGGTGATGGGGCATGAGAGATCGTTCGCTGCCCAGTTCCATAACGGAAAGCTGTTACTCTTGAGTCGATACAGCGTTTGTACTTCTGTCGGAAATGTTGCTCAGATCCGGCGGATATCACGCCATGCAACCGTACCGGTGCCAGCTGAAATTACATAAAAGCCGTGCTTCAGTATTCTTGAGTCACGCTGTTGTTCTCCAATTCGCAAGCGACAGTTGGCTATAAGCTTTTTTAGCTTCTTTTGCTGTGGGTTCCACTATCTAGAACCGGCCCAGAGATGCACCACCCGTGAAAGCGCCGGATTAGCCCCAACATATACTGGGGTCTTGCTATTCCGACTTGCTGTCCTTTTAAACCCCAGCATATAGTCGACTATCGTTGTGCCGCCCCGCATACCTGTGTCAAAATATGAAAGGGAAGCACCCTTCTCGTCTAGTAGCCATTCGTGATGCTGATGAACCTTGGCCGAGTACGAGACCATTGCCCGTGCGGAAGCGCTCGGTGCATAATAAAGGGAAAGTTGTAAACGAGTGCGAGACAAAAAGACCCAAAGTGTTGCCGCTTCGCAATAGACTGTGCCGACATGTCGGCACATGGCGAGAAGCGAGTCATGCCAGGCTGTATCGAAGACCATGACAGTACATCGCCGAGAGTGCGGGAACCGCGGGAGAACCTGGCTCCGTGCAGCTTGTACGGCATACCTCAACGATCTCGGAGCCATGACATATCTTGAATTGTCACATGATCAAGCCATCAGTTATCGAAACGGCCCACTGAGGCGACATCTGCCTTGATACCGTTTCGCACTTCGTCATTTATTGCGTGACGAAAATCGATGGTGACACTGCCATCGTTGTTTTAGACGGTGTTGGCTGTAAAACTAAAACAGGAAGCTCGGCGACTAAAAGTCTGCAAGTCTCCATGAAGAATGTGACGGGCACACGACAGATGTAACGGGGCACCCTGAAGCTTGTACTGGTGACAGTACAAGCTACTTATTCTGATGACAGAATAAGGCGGTGCCTCGTAACTTCACGTACACTCGTACGTGCAGAGGAAGACGGTAAGAAGAAGCGAGTACTCGGTTAGAGTAAAAAGTAGAACTGTATTTATAATAGTTAATGTCTGCAATAAATCACTATTTATCTTCATCTAACTATGTCTAAATACAAATGTGTAAATCAGTTATCTGCTCACCACTCATTGCGTGCGTCTGTCGTGGCGCGTCTTCGTTGGTTGATATAATGGCCTATATCAACCAATTAGGAACTACTTGGAAGTGCTACAGAATATTGTCCTTATGACAATATTCTGAGAATATAACTCTTATAGTTATATTCTATTAACAATTTCTTATAAATTGTTATGTAACGATTCACCCCGTTACATCACCCCCCTTAACCATCAGTCACTTTAGTGACTGATTGACTAAATGGATACTCGTCCCAAATCATTTGGGACGGGGTTTGCACTTGTTGGTCCGCGTCCACTTTCCAACATCTCATCGCATGGTAAACAAGCCCATGCGATGCGCGAGCAAGGCCGCCGAGA